GACTGGCCTGCTGCTCCCCTCAGCAGTGTATTTCAGCCAGTCTGCCTGTTCTGTTCCCCACCCTTCTGGGGAATCCTCTCACTCCCTGCATCTCTGGCCTGTACCCCAGCTCTTGTATGCATAGATAAGTAAATCTTTAAAAAGAAAAAAAGAAAAACCAAATCAAAACCAGCATGAAATATCACCATTAGGATCACTACTACTGAAGGAAAAAAAAAAACCGGGACTTGAACAAACATTTGCATACCCATGTTCATATCAGCACTATTAGCAATAGCCAAGAAGTGGAAGCAACATAAATGCCCATAAATGGATGGCTGGATAATCAAACTGTCATCTGCATATAATGGAATATTATTCCATCTTAAAAAAGGAAAGGAAACCCAGTCATATGCTATAGCATGGATAAACTTCAAGGACACTATGCTGAGGACATTATCATAATGGACAAATACTGTGTGACAAATACTGTATGACTCCACTTATATGAGGTATCTGACGTAGTCAAATTCATAGAAACAGAAAGTAGCGTGGAGGGTACCAGGGACAGGGGTGAAAGGAAAACAGTGAGCTGTGGTTTCACGGGTACAGAGGTTCAGCTTTGCAAGATGAAAAAGTTTTTGGGATTCGTTGCACATGTGTTGTCTGTGTTAAGTGACTTAGCACTGTTGAACTACACCTACAGGTGGCTAAGGCCATATGTTTTGTGTTCTATGTTTTTATCCCGGCTTTTAAAAAATGGTTGTATTTTTCTATGCTAGTAATAACTGATTTGAAAATAAAATTATAAGATCCCAACCATAATCACAGCAGAAGTTATACAATGTCTAAGAATAACTGATAATACAAATCACCAAGGAAAGTGAATTTGAAAAACATAATAAAGAACAAGACATTTGAATAAAAAGGGGAATTTGAAACACATGATAAAGAACAAGACATTTGAATAAAAAAGGGAGTGCCTTCTTTTTTTTGCATAGAATGACTTGATATTAAAAAGAAATCAATAACCCCAGATTGCTCCATAAATTCAGTCTAACCTCAATAAAAACCCATGTTTAATATTTTTTATTTTTATTTTTTATTTTAAACAATATTTGCTTCCCCCCACTCCCTCAGGTTGAGACCCCATAGAATTTCCTTCCCCAAGGCACCCGTGCACCATTACCTCAGTCCCCTGTGCTCCTCCCTCCCTCCCTCTGATCCCTCTCCCTCCTCCTCCCCTGCAGGATGTCTCTGATTTATAATTGTCTGTTTTTGCTTCATTGTGAAAAACCCAAGTTTAATTTTGAGGAACTCAATAAGCTTACTGTAAAATATGTATGAGAAACTAAAGATCCACAAAAAGCTGTATAAGTAAGAGGCTGGTGGAAGGCAAAGGGAAGTGGAGAGAAACTAGAAATGACTATTCTCCTGGTCCCCTGCAGGAAACTACAAATTAGTCTTCTCTTGCCACGGAGGCCTTGTCCCTGTTCAAGGTCAAAGGACACCCGCTCTGCCTCCTCCTGCCCCCCCACACACTGACTTTTTCCTTCATATTGTGAATGTGCCAACTGTCCTCATCTGTCCTTCGGAATCCTCGCTTTTCCACCCGATCTCTGCCCACTTGCTGACTGGTACATCATATATTCAGAGTTCCCTAACTTCCTCTTGCTTTTAGCCTTGCCTGGAGCAGAGGGAGGAGGAGAGTCCAGTCAAGGTTTCTATTCCCTTGGCTCCCTCCCTGCAAGGTCATCTTGGGCTGGCTGTGTCCCCTGACTGAATGGTACTGCTGCAAGGGGGTGACTGTAGAGGACTTGCTCTCCCGAGTCCCGATGGCCCACGGGTCCATTGCCTCCAGGCGCCGGGGTAGTGACAGCTCAGGTGCTGCCAGCTGCAAGTCACTGAACTATCCTCCGCCTGCTTCTTTGTAAACACTTCCTTGTAAATAGACTGCCCTTGAACTCCCCTCTGTTGAGGAGGCCATGTATTTTCTGCTAAGAACTTGCTACAATGAAAGCCATTTATTTCTTCATTCAAAGCCTCAGACCTGACTGGCCAGGGGTTCTTGGAAACTGCAATGGAAAAGTCGGAGAGGAAGTGACTTAAAGTAGGTGAGCCCCTCTGCCTGGGAGCAATCTTTTGGGGCTTGGGGGCTCCCTGCTCTCTGCAATGCCAAGGGACTGGCCCGGCACAAAGCACCAAGGAGTTTGAGGGCTCTGGGGAATGGTGGGTATTCCAGCCAAAGCCAAGTGGGGATGGGGTTAAAGTCCACGCTCATTCGTCATCTGACTTGCCCGATTTTTCTTTGGAACCAGAATTATTTAAAATGGTGTAAAAATATTTTCCTAAATAAACATTGAGATTAAACATGAATCTTTGTCCTTTCCCTTGGCATGAAAATGTACATGAGGAAGGAAAGGGAGAGGTTGGAACACGGGAGCACGCTCTCCCATAGGAAAAGCACTGAGGGCCCCCCCAGTGTGCATTTACCTTTTATTCCCATGGTCCTTACTGGTGAAAAGAAGACCTCAAACTTGGGGCCTGAAGTATTGGTACCTGTCTGGAGGAATGAAGGGAATTCCTGTGTTGTGCTTGTTCTCAGGACACAGTTACAGAGTTTTTTTTTTAATGCCTGGAGAGTTTGGTTCAATGACCTTTGAAGTCAATTGCAGCTCCAAGGTCAAGGGAGAGAATCATTCCTTGTACCATTTGGATTAGATATGGCCCCAAACTCTCTCTCTCCACTTCCCCCTTTTCTCTTTTCCACCCCTTTCCCCTCCTCCTTCATTCCCCTTCTCTCCCAGCACCCCACACACACCTTTTTGGCTTTTCATTGGATTTAGCATTCCACTTTCCTCACACAGTCCTGGAGCTGAGCCACCATTTCCCCTGCCAGCCTTTCCCCCCAGACACCTCTGATTTCTTTGTGTGATGCCAGGTATCCCCTCTATTTCTCCTTAATGTATTCTGACTTCCCAGAGTCCAAGAGACCCACAGGGTGCTTTCTCCTACTCCCCATCTAGAAGGGCCTGCCTTCCCTCCAAAACAGAAACCTAGGAGGCCAGGGAAGAGAAAGCCCAGAGACCTCCAGTGCTGGTTGCTGCCAGGGAGGTGACTCTCAGGGGGGCTGTGACCAGACTCGGTGCTTTTCCTTCAGAATTGTGCCAGGCAGGCACCAGACCAGCGCCCCACCCAAGACTAGACTAGAATTTCAAAAGGAATTGGTTTTGTCAAACAACAACAGGAATAGCAAGTGGAAAAATGAAATATGACAAGACTTAAAACAGAAACTTTAAAAATGAAACACGCACTGATAAAGTACATAAAGATTTATTTATTTATTTTTTAAGATTTATTTCTTTATGTATGTATACAAGAACTGGGGTACAGGCCAGACGTGTGGGGGTGAGAGGATTCACCAGAGACAGAGCGGGGAACAGAACAGGCAGATTGGCTGAAATACACTGCTGAGGGGAGCAGCGGGGGTGAATCAGGAGAGGTCTGCTGCACCATGTGGGTAGCTCCCTGGCGGGGCTACAGTGGCTGCGGATAGCTTCATAGGTTGCGTCTTAATCCCTTGAGCCACTAGGGAGGCCCTACATAGAGATTTATTTCTGAGTCTACATGTACTAATCAACCCAGCGCACAGTACTTTTCCTCCTTTCTCCACCCAGCTCAGAGAACAGGCTCTTGAACTCAGGAGCATTCTGAGTTCTTCAGTCAACTCCTCCCAGAAAAGATTCCCTGATCACAGGATCCTCCTGGGGAAACCGTGGTGGAGATCGGGTCATCAATTCAACAAACTCTAAGCAGACTTTGGACATCAATTCTGTGTGGACAGCGCTAGCTCTAGCGCCACTTGTCTCTAGATCCATCAGCATAGAAACAGCCTAAAGACAAGGGTTCTCGCCCAGGACTGCACCTTCCCCTCCCACTCACAGCCCGGGACCGCGGCACCCGCATGATTGCACACAGCCTGTCTCCCTGCTCCGCCCCTCAGCTTGTCAGATTCTCATCTCGTGTGTTCCTGCACAGAAACCCAGACACAAACATGCATCCATAACCCCTTGTTCGCCCCCCTAAGCCCTGTAGACTGAGCTCCTCCAGCTCTTGTCCTCATTCCTGGTTTCTTTCCCTTGCCCAAAAGTCCTGCGTCCAACTCTAATTTCAGAAACAATTCCAAGCCCAGCCTTCTAGTCCAGCAGGTGTCGCCCTTCACTGAAAACAACACACCTCCTCAGCCCGGTGAAATCTAAACAGGCAGGCCGAGCCGCAGGAGGTTGGGGTAGAAGGGGAAAAAGTGGTGTGCTCCCCTGCCTGAGGGTCCTCAGAAAAAAGTAATCTACTTACTTCTTGCTCAGGTGAGCAAACATCCCATAGGAACGTCCTCCCTGTGTTACAGGGCAACCCCCCCCATATAAAATGGGGTTGCCTGACTGTGGGTCCTCACCTGCGCCCTTAAAGGGGACTTATTAATGCTAAACTGCAGACATACACAAAGGTTGATAAAAGGCTTATTTACAAGGGAAGGGGAATGAGGAAATGAATCGCTCAGGGAGAAAAAGCAGGAGGTAAGTTCTTAAATGCGTCCTACCCGTTCCGCTGACCTGGAATCCCAATGACCCGCCAAGTTGGCAAAAAAAAAAAAAAAAAAAAAAAAAAAACCCTAGCTCGCAACCTTCCCTTTGGTGATCATGGGATTTGTAGTTCCCAGTGTCGTGGGGTTGGAGTCCACAAAGCCTGTATGGAGTTTGCTCAGGACATCCTCTCCCACAACATTTGGACCTTGGATATGTTATTTAGCCTCTAGGAATTCCCCTTCTTTATCGATGGTATGAAGGAAGAAAATCTACTCTTTATGGGGTTTTTATTTTTTTTTTATTTTTTTTTTTAAGATTTATTTAGTTATTTATACATGCACTGGGTACAGTCAGAAGCGCGGGAGGGTGAGAGAATTCACCAGAGCCAGAGCGGGGAGCAGAGCAGGCAGAAGGACCGAAGTACACTGCTGAGGGGAGCAGCGGGCGGCAGGAGAGTCTGCGCGCCATGTGGGACCCTCCTCTGGTGGCCGGGGAGCAGCCAGGGATCGAACCAGCCCTGCAGAGGCTGCGGCCAACTTCGCAACCCTGCACTCAACCGTTGCGCCACCGGGGAGGCCCTTTATGGGGTTTTTATAAGAAGTGAATGAGGCTCTAGCATAAACCACCTACTCTGGTATCCAGGTCATGGTAAGCGTGGAGCTCGGGGGCCTTCCACACGGAGGACATGGAAGAAATAACTGCCCTGAACTTGGACCTGAACCTCTGTACCCTGAATCCTGATCATCTGTGAGTCTGCATCAGGGTTTTGTTGAAGATCAAATGAAGCTATGGGTGTAAAGCTCCTCGACAATGCACAGGAACTTGAGCGACTGATAATTGCTAAGCCATTACTGTGGGTTCCTATGGGCTGGGCAGTGCTCTAAGCCATTTGAAGTGTGAACTCATTTAATCCTCACAAGATTCCTCACAGGGTAAGTGAACTGTTAATCCTTCCTTTCCGTCACTCTGTGACTCCGTCCCAGCAGTTAAATTTTTTTTTATGAATTTATAAATCAGAACACTGCCCCAAATTCTGCCATGCCTAAATAGAAAAAATGGGAGGAGGCACTGACACCCCTACTCAAGTAGGACAGAAACAAATCCAGTCCCTAAATGCTCCTCGTTCCTCCAGGGCCCTCAGGAGAAAGCACAGAAAAACAATATTTCCATCAGAGTTTATTCCTCAGAGATGACCACCAGCAACTCATTGCCCTCCATGGCACCATGGTGTCCCCAGAAGGGTCGTTAACCTCCCTCTCTGGATTATAATCACCTCAGAAAAATGGCCTTGGACAGTAACTGGGTTACAGAATATTCCCAGGATTGAGTCCCCCCAAGTCGTGAAAGTTTACATTGGGGCAGCTGGAAAACTCAAAGACTTGGCTGGAGAAACCATAGGATCCAAGATTAATCAGAGGTTTCAGGGCTGTTGTGTGCACAGCAGCAGCATTAAGAGTCTGAATCTCCTTCTCACTGGGAGTGAAAGTTGTCGGTTTCCGGCTCTAGGAAATATGCTCACCTGCAGAAGAAATAAAAAGATATAATAAGGCTTCAACCCCAATTTGACCTCATCACTTGCCTCTCTAACCATTCATGCCAGACCCCTTCATATGGCTATAATGAAATTTCTAGATCCCCAAGGACTAATACAGAAGAGCCATCTTCGGCCTCCTCCCCATAGACACTCCACTGGGCAGAAGAGGAAGCTGAAGGCTCCTCTTTCCTGCTCCAAATCCCAAAATACCATGGCAGCTTAAATCACGCCATTCACCTCTATTGAACCCAGCACTGAACCCTCTACCACCACTCTGCCTCCCAAGGACCAGTAGGCAAACAGACCAACAGAGATATTACCTCCTGGATAACTGGACCCAGGGATGTAAGTGTAGCCTAGAAGAAGAAAATATCAAATTAAAGGATAGTTTTTATGGATAAAAATTTCTGGCATAACTCACAGCAAATAGGACAGCAATGAGATAATCAATCACAAAGAGCAAGTGAGAGAGATCTAGAGTGAGAACAGCCACAGGGGCTCAGGAGCCCCACTCACCAGAGGAGCGATGTCTCCGCCAGCTGAAGAAACCAAAAAAGAAGATGATGAAGCCCAGGCCCAGGGTCACTACAGACACAGAAACCTTCACTGTCTGGATCAGGGACAGCCCAGGAGCTGCAAAAAATAGAAACTTACCAGAACCAACCTCTATTGTTCAGTCCCAAAGCAATTGAATGTCGCCTCTCCTAGCAGGTTCAGTGGTGCTTTATCTCATCCTCAGGGTCTAGCTGGCACCACTCTGCTCCCAAGGAAATGGCCTTTCCTCAAAACCATCCTGTGAATAATTTTATTTCCAGAGTAACCTAGGCGGCCGTCTCTCCAGAGCTAGCACTCTTTCAGACTCTGCCCAATATGGTGGGGCTTCTCAAGGTATCTTCTGTTCTTCCTTCACCCCATGAGTTACCAGTGATTCCACCCCATGAGTTACCTGAGTACTTCTGTGTCCCTACCTGTTCACATCCAGACTTGCCCTGTGTCCTTCCAGAACCAGTCTCCATCCCACTCCATAGGCCCCACTTCTCAGAACTAGTCTTATTCTGAATCATGCACCTCAGGACGGCCTTTCTCATGCTAAAATGAACATTCTACCACCAAAGGAAACTCCCTGTGCCGGGTGTGAAGGAGACTTTGCCAGGAGAGTGCAGGTGAGCCCCGGGGTTCTACTCTGCTCCTCTAGCCCTTCTCAGCTGCCCAATGGCCTGAGTCCACTGGGGCAGGAGAGGGGGGTGGGGAGCTGTTCTCAGCAGCCAGCCTAGGATTCAGTTCCTTGACTCTCTGTAGACACCCTTCCTCTTCCTCATTTCTTCCTTTTTTTTTTTCCAAGAATCCCCAAATCTATGTGCAACTTCCCTTTTTTCCTTTAACTTCTTCCGGTCCTGGGGCCCAAACAATAGTGATGGCTCCTTGTTAATCAGCCCCCAAGCATGCACACCAAATTGGCCCCCAGTCATGGCTTTTTCCTCCTTCATAGAGCAGGAGATCTGCAAATTCAGTACCACCCCCACAGCAAGAGAAAGACCCCTTCTACAACTTTATGTCTCTAATTCCCTTTCCGAAGGAACTGACAACACAATAGTCAGATTCTGAGGATCTTAGAATATTGCATCATAATTTTTGGCTCCAAAATATGGCACCTAATCATATCCCCTTTTCAGGAAAGGCATTCTCCCCTCCATCCTTAGACAAGCACTTGGCATTAACCACATCACCATAGCAACAATAACTAACTCCTTCATTCTTGTAGCCCATTGCTCTGTCTGTTCATAAATCCTTCCTAAATTTCTGCAGATTCACACTCTTCTCAGCATCTTTGTCTCTACACATTCCTTGGATCTATCCACCCCTTGCCTCTGCCAAAATACTAGAGTTCTTTTTGAACCACCCCCTGCACTAGCTCCCTATGTAACTCTAATTCCTCCCACCAGCCATGCACTTACTCCAGTACTGAAGGATGGGCTGGGGAGTCCCAATGTGCTCCACCGCACAAATGTAGGTGTCCCCATAAGAGGGGGATGTGGCTAAGTAGGAGACGGTCTGGTAGGTCCAGTCTCCATTGGGCTGGGCAATCTTGTGGGCGTTGCTGTGAGGGAGGACAGGCTCCCCGTTCTTCCTCCACATGATGTTCACGTCAGATGGATAGAAGCCCCACACGTAGCAGGCCAGCATCACAGGTTCCTTCGTGTTGAAAGGAGTGGTTTTGGCTACTTGCACAGATGGTGCCCCTGCACAGAGGAGAGCATGTGTGTGAAGAAAGGCAACACTGGGTCTTTTCTCCAGCCTGGTCCCTTGCCTACTTCAATTCTTCATGGATTTTCAAACCTACCTCCCACCCCATCCCATTTCACCATACATCTCTTCAAAACCAGAGGTTAGAATTTACTCCAGTTTCATTCTTTTATCTCCCATTCCATCACTGTTCCTCCATTTCTTTTCTCCTCCAAAATTATGTTTGACCACAATAAATAGAAGGTGGAACTGCACTGCAGGCTGTTTCAGAAGTCATTGTATTTAATTTCTAGCACAAAAACTAGCAGTTGTCCAGAGTTGTATGTTGGCATTTGCAAAGGTAGAAAAAGATTTCTTTCCTCAAATCTGGGCTGACAAATTAATGTGCTATATCAAGACTTTTTCCTTGGATAGTTTAAGGAAATAAGCCTAACTCACACTATCTCTTAAATTTGGATGAGTATAGTCCAGGTTAATGAGATTGTTCAAGTCACCATCTTTTACTAGTTTACTAGTTTATTCTCCTAGGAACCCTCCTCATTGCTTCTATCTTCATGCTTTTCAAGCAAAATGTTAAATAAAAAATCTAAGAAATTGTGTTAAAATGCAGATTCCCTAGCCTGCATCCCCAGAAATTCTTATTCCACGGACCTGTAGCAATAATTTTTAACAAACACCTTCTCCAAGCAATTCTGAGAAAGAATACTCCGAAATCACATCTTAAGACACACTACTTTGTCCTATGAGGCTCTTCAAGTTTTATCTAACCCATCTCAAGTTCTCTCAGTGCAAAGAGTTAAGGGTGGGAGAGCAAAGTAGTCAAAACCCTTCTGGGGGCTTTTCCAAATATTCCCATGCATGGGCCCAACCCAGACCTTGAACATCAGCACCTGAGATAAAGAAACACGAGCAATTCAGGAAAAGCCACTCTGGTTATTCTGACACAGCCCTGGCAGAACCTGGCTGTGCACCCTAGGATACCTGTGTAGGAGGAAAACTGCTTACTGCCCCCTCAAAGCAGCTCCTCACAGCCCCAAGCATCCCCTTCCTAAACATCGCCTCCCCTTTTTTAATTCCTGTTTCACCCCACTCCAACCACTTTGTTTCCCCCATAGGGTCACCCCTTCCTCATTTCACATTGCAGCTCCACATAATTTGGACTTCTTTCCTGCCCAAATCTCAAACCCCTCGCCTGCTGAAGGTAGCACCTGGCTTCCCCTCTCCTATCTATGCTTCCTAATAGGCCCCCTTTACTCCTCTCTCCTTACGTGTCCTATTGGTCAGTGATCCCCAGAAGGCCTGGGTGTGTGTGGCACAGTTACTGAGTCCCCTGGACAAGCGCTGGTGCAGGCCTTCAATTTGGTTGAGCTGCTTTGAGATTATATCAGCCAATGGCCTCAGTGTCCCAAATTCACAAGTGGTCATATTGCCCTTGTCTGGATCCCAGCAGGACAGCAAATCCTTGTTGAAAGAAATACAATACGTGAAATCCATTGGAGTCCCATCATCATCCAACAGACAGGTGCTTTCCACGTGGGCAACAAAGCCACCTAAGGGAAACAGGGGGTAGGGAGGGTCAGAGCCTCTGGCGGGATCCCAGCCAGTGAGCCCACCACAGGCTTCCTTCCTCAGCAGCAGATACTGACCAGGCTCCTGCACCGGACTCTCCGAGAGCTCGGACCAAGGGAAGAAATGTTAGAAACCAAAAAGTGCTAAGAACCTGTTTCCTTTTTATGTGACACTAAGCATGGAGACAGGAGTCATTCAAGATTATTTTCCTGTTTAAATATGATGATTTATCCAGGAAGAGACTTTCATAAGGCAAATTATTGAGTAAGAAAAGGGGTCAAAGGAAAGAATCAGCCTTGTTCTGTGCCAAATATATTATTAAATATTTGCTTCCTTCATATTTATGAAGTACTTGCTATGGGCCCAGCAACTGTGCTTGTAGCTGGGATGCAGAAGTAAACAAGACAGCTGATGCCCTTGCTTCCTCCCAGCAGGAAATACACTTACACAAATAACTGTAGAGCTTCATTACCATTAAAATTGCTACAAAGTGCTATGGGAGTTTATAATGGGGAGATAAACTCATCCGGGTGTGGGTGTTTGAATCCAATAAATAGCATAGACCCCTTCCCCAGAAACAAAACAAGAAGGAATGTTCTTACCTGCTCCGGTGCAGCCCAGGCTGAGGCCCAGCAGTAGGGGCAGGAGTGCAGTCATGCTCTGCTCCGGGGAGACAAGGGGAGTTCAGTCACCTGAATCAGCTCTTGCAGGGACCTTGGGTCCTCACCTGTCACATAAGCCCCAGCCTGAGTAGATCAGATGAACTCCAGACACTAAGTGGAATATGGAGTTGCCCAGGTCCCTTGATCCTGACTTAGTGAGTGATTTGCAATTACTCAGCTCCTAGATACTAACCCTGACCCCGACACCCTCCTCTAAGCCAGCCATCCCAACTGAGATGCAGTCAGATTGGCCAGTCGGTGGGAACATGTGTGGAGACAAATCGCTGAGCACCTCCGCCTAGCATCATCAGTTACTAGGTAAATCTCATTCTGCCCTAGGCTTTGCTAGCACTCCTGGTCTTTCTCTGAATTCTTTCCCTGTAAGTGGATTTCCCTAGATCGGTGGAGAAAATTCCCATTATTTGCAGAATATATGCAGCCTGGACAGTCTCTGGTTTAACTGTTTCTTCCCAATGTCCCTAAACGGAGGACAACTCCTCTTGTTCCTTTAGGGGAGGTTACTTAGAAGATACTACATAATGCTTGGTATGATGGGTCCCCTAGGAGACAGGTCCTTCTGGGGCAGGCAGCAGAGGCAGTGCTGCTAAGAAGGAAGGAGGCACAGGAGAAAAACAGTTATTTAGCTTCAAAGCAAGACTTTAGTTTAAGGGAAGCAGTTCTGTCTGTCTCCGCGGTCAGGTCACAGACTTAGAAAATCCCTGTCTGGGCTCCAGTTGCTGCTTCTGTTCTAGCGCGAGGAGCTTCATTTCCTGCTTGCTGCTCTCGGGACCCAAGAACTCCTATCCGCCTACACTATGAGTCATCTGAGGGTAGACCACAGGGCAACTCCTCTTAAACCTCTTGATAAATAGCTGGTGATGGGCCAAGCCCAAAGCACATCAGTCTCCCCCAAATTCAAAACGCCCTTGTGTGTTTCCCTTGCTGGTCCCATCTGTCTGGGATAGGTTCAGGCATTATGAAGCCACTATAAAAATGAGAAAAAGGTCCCTTACATTTTCCCCAAAAAAGACAGATTTTATTTTTTTGTGCTTGCGTCGGCTTTTTTTTTAACTTTCTTTTTTTATTAATTTTTTTTTATTTTTCACATCATTGTTCTTTTTTAAACAATATTTGCTTCCCCCCACCCAGGTGTAATCCCCAGAGAATTTCCTTCCCCAAGGCACCCGTGCACCATCACCTCAGTGCCCTGTGCTCCTCCCTCCCTCCCTCTCATCCCTCTCCCTCCTCCTCCCCTGCAGCATGTCTTTGATTTATAATTGTCTGTTTTTGTTTTGTTGTGTTTTGTACTGTTACTATTTTTTTACACTGATGGCTTATTTGGTTCCCTTATATTCCTGCTATAAGTGAAACCATCCGATATTTTTCTTTTTCCTTCTGGCTTATTTCACTGAGCATAATTCCTTCCAGCTCCATCCACATTGCTGTGAATGGCATGAGTTTATCTTTTTTGATCACTGAATAATATTCCATTGTGTATATATGCCACATCTTCCTGATCCAGTCATCTATTTTTGGGCATTTGGGTTGTTTCCAGGTTTTGCCTATTGTAAATAGTGCTGCAATAAACATAGGGGTACAGGTGTTCTTTTGGACCAATGTTTTGTGTCCTTTGGGTAGATTCCTAAGAGTGAAATTGCTGGGTCATATGGTAGCTCCATTTTTAGTAGACTGAGGAACCTCCAGACAGCTTTGCATAGTGAATGGAGCAGTTTGCACTCCCACCAGCAATGTAGGAGAGTTCCTTTTTTGCCACATCCTCACCAAGATTTGTTGCTGCTAGTTTTTTTGATATGTGCCATTCTCACTGGTGGAAGTTGGTATCTCAATGTGGTTGTAGAGGCATGCTTTATTTATTTATTTTACTTGTTTGTTTGTTTGTTTATACATGCACTGGGTACAGTCAGAAGCGCGGGAGGGTGAGAGAATTCACCAGAGCCAGAGCGGGGTGCAGAGCAGGCAGAAGGACCGAAGTACACTGCTGAGGGGAGCAGCGGGCGGCAGGAGAGGTCTGCGCGCCATGTGGGACCCTCCTCCGGTGGCCGGGGAGCAGCCGGGATCGAACCGGCGCCGCAGAGGTCACGGGCAGCTTCGCAACCCAGCGCTCAACCGCTGCCCTCAATGTGGTTTTGATTTGCATTTCCATGATTATAAGGGATGTTGAACATTTTTCATATGCCTATTGGCCATTTGCATTTCCTCTTTGGAGAAATGTCTTTTCAGTTCTTCTACCCATTTCTTGACTGGATTGTTTACTTTGTTTTTGTTGAGTCGTGTGAGTTCTTTGTATGTCTTTGTGATCGGTCCCTTATTGGTTGTATGGAGTGCAAAAAATTTTTCCCGGTCACTGAGGTGTCTCTTTGTTTTGGTTAATGTTTCTTCTGCTCTACAGAAGCTTTTCAGTTTCATGTAATCCCAGGTGTTTATCTTTTCTTTGACTTTCTTTGCTTTGGGTGATGAGTCTTTAAAGATGTTACTGAGATGTATGTCAAAAAGACAGATTTTAAAGGCAATACATTTCTCTGTTCTGTTGGGAACTATACAATTGATGGATTTTTTTCATCGCAAATTTAAAGCCCTAAATAGGCGTCTTTCTGCTCAACAAGCTTCAAAGGTGTCTATCCTCATCTGAGTTTTTAAAAGTTGTTGGAATTGATTTAATAATATAAGAGGATTTAGAGGGAGTCCCTTGATAGCACACTAATCTATCCTCCCTCAAAGTCACTGGCTCAAAAGAATCTGATATTTATGAAGAAGAATGTAAAGGAAATGAAGAAAGAACCAAAAGTGAAAGAAGGATGAAATCAGAAATGAAAGATTTGCTATTGTTACTAATTAGATAACCGGAGCTCCACCATGTTTCTATGCCACCCCCTCTCTTCACTGTGCCTCAGTGATAAGATTGTTCTATATTCTAACTTTGCCAGTGAACTATCAGTGTGTTGGAGTGAGCAGAAGATGGGGTGCAGGATCCAAAAGTTGAGCTGCTTGTGACAGAGCGCATGCTAAGTAAGCCCTTTACATGCTACCTCATTTAATCTTAAAAGGTCTGCTCATTGTCCTCACTTTACAGTTTCAAAAACAGGTCCACAGATTCCTACCCAAAGTCCAGAGACCTTAATGCCTTTTTTGACACAACTCCCATAGGTGCATAAGTGTACACACAGACACACACACGTGCACACACACTCACAGCTGAGTGTGCCCACATTCACTGCATCCTGGGACTGAGATGATCCACATAAAGGTAGTTAGTGGTGGCCTCCACTAACAAAGGAAACAAGAAAGAGCTACCTAGTCCACCCAAGTCGTATCTTTCTGTTCTCAGAGTTCCTTCTACTGCTCTTAGAACCACTATCTCTTCCACTTTCTCTCTGTATAGTCTCAAAACTGAATTCTCCTACACATACACCCATACACACACTTCCACATACACACACTTCCCCTTTACATCCTCCTCTCCCTCCTGGCAGGAGGCAAGCCTAACAGGAACCAGATCTTGGGAGCCTTTTCAATGTCTGCAAGGCCTGTTCACACACAATTGCTCACCCCATGTCCCTGACCACAGACCCATGTGCTAAGGCTGAGCGCAATGGCCTCTTGTGTTTAGGTCTTTGCTCGGGTAGTCAAAGTAGATGTGAAACCTTCTGTGAGGCAGTAGCAGGAAATGTAGAAGATTTCACTTCTCTATTATTGAGAAGAGTAGGTATTTTTTAGAATAAAGCTGGACAGAAAAACCCAAAGACCTGTGCTTAGTAGAGCGCTGTCTTCCTTCCCCTCTTCCTCCTAACTGGACTTTTTTTTTTTTTTACAGACATAGCTCTGTCCTCCTCCTTGAGTCAACCCAAAAGAATATCTTAATTGCCCCATCCATTGTTGGAGATTTGATAACTATTTAGGTAGCACTAAGACTGAAGAAGTTAGGGATCCCTAGCCAGCTTCCCACCTGCTGTCCCTCTTTTGCTGCCACTGTGCAAGTACCCAAAGAACAAGTCCTCTCCTTACCCTGTGCCTTTTCCCCTAGACCGGCCACCATGTGCCCGAAGTGGACCAACCATGGTGCTCATGCACAAAGCACTCAGGAAACACCCAGGTAGGAAATATGGACTCTGCCCCCACATCTTTCACTCATTGGTCAGTGGGGAGTGAGAACAAACATCTATAAAGAGAAGAGTTTATGATAAAACGAATAAGCAATAAAAGCCGGAGGACTTGTGGGTGTAGTAGACAAGGAGATCTCTCCATGTAAAGGGCCTGGAGGTAAGCCTTGGATTCTGGGCTAGGTTCATGTCGGAGAAGAGGAAGGCAGCTGGCATAGCAGTCCAGGCATACAGCTCTACTCTACAAACTTGACAACTGGATGAGGTGCTGCTGGGGGTCTACCAGGAGCCAGGGCTGGCTAAATAAGAAACTACAAAAATGCCACCAGCATTGCACATTAAAGGAAATGTGGTCTCACGCTTTTCCTGAGAGTTTGGCCATAATAATAAATCGCTTCTGAGTACTTCCTAACTTCTCTGTAAGTTCCCATGTTCCTCTTCTGGGCGGATGGTTTCAACCCATAATCTAAAACCAATAGCATGAGACCACACTCGTGACTTCCTCCATGTCTTCAAAATTACACCCATATGCACCTGCCAGGATTACATCACTCTTAGTCTGTCCAACCTCACCCTCCACACCATCTCTACCTCTCCTCTGGCCTCAACCCCTCTCTTCACTATCAGAATTCACTGCCCTAGATCCTGATTCTTAGGTAATTCCTTCATCATGCTTCCTTTCTGCAGCTAAATTACTTGAACTACTAAGGGATATCCTACCTGATTTGTTACCACAACTCTTGAATGTTATTATCTCTGCCAAGAGAAAGTGGAGGTAGAGGGAAGTTAGTGGTTGCCCAGAGTTACCCAGATATTAAGTAACAGAACCTGAGTCTTGGACTCAGTATTTATGACTCTAGGTTCTACACTCCTAAGAGTCAATTTGCAAATTGCTGATAATTTATGGTGACAATAAAAACCATCACATATGAAAGTATAAGAATTTTATGATAACTATTAAAGTACCTAAATTGAAGTCCTCAAGAAGTGAAAAGGCATACCATATTCATGAATGGAGCATTCTAACATATTAAGAAAGTCCATTTCTCCCATATTGTTAATATAAATGCTGTTCCAACTAAATCATAGGGAGATTTTGGAAGAATTTGATGTACTGACTTCAAAATGTACATAAAATAATGCCCATGAATACATTACACATTTCTAATAAATATGAGTAAAGTGAACTTTTGGGGACAAAGGAATGGAAACTAGCCCTATCAAATATTAAAGTATACTAAAAAGCCATAATAATGTGATACAGACACAGAAACTGACAAACAAAGGAAACTGAATGATTCAGAGATCAGACATGCATATAGAGGAACTTGGCATTAAATCCCTGGGAGTAAGTGAAATATTTGGCTAGCAGTACTAAGAAAATCAATTTACTCTTTGGAAGAAAGGATGTTATATCCTCATTCACACAACATAAAAAAAAAAATTCCAGATCAATAAAGCTCTAAATCTTTAAAAAAAAATAATATTAGTAGAAACACAAGTGGGATATAACCTATCACCAGGTAAATATAAGGCAAAGCTTTTTTACCCAGAATGATTCATCAGAAAAGAAGGAATTACCTTATGATAAGCCCTTAGGTTTTTTCCTTCCCAAATTACAGTCAATATCTCAAAACTATTCAGAGAAGATACATCATCCTAGAATGATCTCATAATAAATACATTAAAATTAAAATAAAATTATTTTATGGAATGTGAGTGGAAACAGCAATATACCGATATTAATATTCTATGTAATGAAATATGTGATTTTAAATTTATAGGTTAATAACTAAAGAAAGGTTAAAATAATGTGATACAGACACAAGAACTGACAAACCTAGGAAACCAAATGACTATCTCTGTAACTTCTATCACCCTAAAACTTTAAATACTGAAATTGGCCAAAAAACTTTTAAAATATTCTCATTGATAAAATGGAGTACCACAATGTCACCTTATATTCCAGCAAAAAAATTGCAACTTTGCCTCCTTGGGGTTGGGAGGGATTTCTTAAGATCATAAAAGGATAAGCCATAAAGGTTTGGGCTGTCAAAATTAAGTAATTCTATTCAGAGGAATTGTATACAAATTTAACTGAGAGAAGCAAGCTGGAAGAAGGCATATGCAATCATTATACTGATAAGAATACAGACTACATAGAATATATAAGAAATCCCCACAAATCTACAAGAAAATGCAATTTTCAAAATAGATAAAAGATGCGAATCAGCAATTCACAGGGAGCAAAATCTATGAAAAGATGTTCAGCTTCACTAGTAATGAGAAAAAGGCAAATCAATTAAAAAAAGATACCACTTTCCACCCATCACATTGCCAGCATTTGAAAGTAAAATAATGTTAAGTGTAAGTGACATTAAAAGAAAATGAGAACTACCATGCTCTGTTGGTAGGAGTGTAACCTGTTTATGATCCCCAAATTATAAGAAATTATGAACTCACTACAGAAAAAAAATGAACACAGGAATCAAGGCAGCCTATTCTTATTTTATCTTTTGTTTAAAGATTTATTTTATTTATACAAGAACTGGGGTACAGGCCAGAGGCACAGGAGGGTGAGAGGATTCACAAGAGACAGAGTGGGGAGCAGAACAGGCAGACGGACGGAAAACACTGCTGAGGGGAGCAGCAGGCACGACAGGAGAGGTCTGCCACACCACATGGGTATCTCCCTGGCCAGCCAGAAATTGAACTCACACTACAGAGGCTGCAGACAGCTTCACAGTGCTGCATTCAACCTGCTGTGCCACTGGGGAGGCCCATGGCAGCCTATTCTTGAGAGGAAAGTCTTGGTAGGTGTATTTGAGAAGAATGTGCTCTAAGTCTCAGAGGAGCTCAGAGCAGATCAGTGAGGGCTGGAGGATTAAGGATAGGCTCATGGATGTGGTCAACAGGTTGGATTGACAGCAATGGTTACGGTGAAAACAAACTGAGGAGAAAAAAAAAAAAGGCATTTGGTGAGAAGAAAAAGGCTGGGCAAATGTCCTAAAGTGAAGACAGACATGATATTTTCAAAGAACAATGATGAAAACAGATTCATTCAAAAACTGGATTCCTTCTAGAAAGAGTGGGTAATATTTTTAATTAGGAAAGAGACATTATACCGGGGAGGGTCTTGAATGCTTCTCAAGTATTACAAGTGACACTTCACAGAATGTGTAATCAGAGGGCATCAGACCTAAGCCCATCATTTCACAAGTGGGGAATTTGAACAAATATGATTTGTTTAAAGTCATACAGCAAAATACAAGCAGCTTTAAGGCTTGACTGATCAGCAATTTATGGATATATTGGATAATAGATAGAAATCAGGAAGAACTAGGGAACACTAGAGAGAGAAGTAGAATGGTAAAGTGAAGAGAAAAAAGAAAGATATGTCAAGGGAGAAAACACAGTCCATGAAGTTTGATTCAAAGTAGGTCCAGGACAGAAAGCAGGTGATGCTTGTAAGTTTCCCTCTGAAAATTCTTACTGTTATTGAGTGCCTTTTCTCTGTCCTAAACATTATTCTAATATTTTCTATAGATATTAACTTATTTAAGTTTCACAACAACCTTTGAGGTGGGCACCATAGTTATCATCATCTTTTTACAGAAAATGGTAGGGAAGCACAGAGAGGTTAAATAATTTACCCAAGGACACACAGCTGAAATTTGACAGTTAAACAATTGAACTCCCAGCAGTCTGGTTCCAGAGCCCACTTTTTTTTTTGTAATGGGAAATGAGGTTCCAGAGGTGATGGGCTGGTACAAATCTGATGTGCTTTTATAGAGCATTCTAAAGACTTTAGTTTTTACTCTGATTGACAAGAAAAGCCATTAAAAGGTTTTAAGCTGATGAGTGGTTTAACAAATGATAGTCCTGTCTGACTTTTGAAAAGACCAGTACAAGTTATGGCATACAGAATAGGGCAATACCAAAAATGCTATAGAATATGGGGAATACTGTAGAGGGCAGGGGTAGAAGCTAGAGGGATGATTAATAAGCCATTTCTTTCTTTCACTTTCCAGATCCAATTCATGAGCAAATCCTGCCAGTGCTAACTTCACCACTTCTCCCACATTTATTACCTCAGTCTGATCATCACTGTTATGTAGATAACTGCAGTGGCTCCAGAGCTCACACTCTTAACCAATACACGTGTTGCTCTGAGATGAGATGGTTCAGAGGGGGTGTCAACCTCTGGGAACAATTGGATCTTTTCCCTGGTACAACATGAACAGACTCCCTCACCAATACTAGTGAGATCATTTTACTCTTAACCGTAATGCCACCTCTTCCTCCAAAGCAAAGCCCTGAACCTAAGCAAAGCAAGAAAACAAGCCCATGTAAGGCAATTTCCCCCCACAGTCATATGCCCCACCCCCACCCCCCACCCAGGACGGTCACATTCTCCTTGGATAGTCCACTCAGGCCAAAACCCAGCTTGTATGAGCAGTTTGCAGGCTGCTCACACCTCAAGAGCTTGATACACTGTTTTCAAGAACTGACATGACTGAGTTGAGTGGCATCTAAAGGCTTTTTCCCTCACTCCTGAGTTTCTGTTTTCCCAGCTATGCAGAGGGTGGAAGGGAATTACACATTTTTCTAGGCAACCTATATTAGGCATAAACATTTTCACAAATTATAAAGTGTGAGAAACACACACAGTTTCCTTCATCATTATGTAAACAGATTATCAGAAAGCAGCTCTGCCTTCATTTCTCACATATTTTGCACAAACTGATAGTAGAAAAAGTAGTCATGTGGTACTGAGACGGGGACAGGAGTCTAGGGAGGAGTTAGGGGTTTTCCCATTTTCCCTCCTGACTGAGGAGCAAGCTGTGTTCAGGTAAAGGCGTGTCAAATTTGGAATGACAACTCACTCAGGCTGAGATATCCAGAAACAAATACCATGAGTTAAGAAAGAAGTCACGGGGACTCCCCGGTGGCGCAGCGGTTGAGCACTGGGTTGCGAAGCTGCCCGCGGCCTCTGCGGCGCCGGTTCGATCCCCGGCTGCTCCCCGGCCACCGGAGAAGGGTCCCACATGGTCCGCAGACCTCTCCTGCCGCCCGCTGCTCCCCTCAGCAGTGTACTTCGGTCCTTCTGCCTGCTCTGCTCCCCGCTCTGGCTCTGGTGAGTTCTCTCACCCTCCCGCGCTTCTGACTGTACCCAGTGCATGTATAAACAAAACAAACAAACAAATAAATAAAACATGCCTCTATTAAAAAAAAAAAAAAGAAAAAAAAAGAAAGAAGTCACACTTATACTAAGGAATCAGATTTATTGTCTTAAAACAGGAAGGCATGTGATTGTGAGAGGATGGTCACTCTTGGTTCCCCTGAATGCAAGTCCAGGCACAGCAGAGCCCCCAGCTGAGAAACATGTACACACACACACACACACACACATCCTAGGAACTTCCGCTCTGAGAAGGCAAGATCCTGGACTGACGGGAGAAATCTGAGCACCTCGTGCTTGGATGGTCAGAACTGTTGGCCTCAGATTCTGGTAGGAAGAATCAGCCTAGGAGAGAGAGAGAAGGATGGAGGGAGTTCCTAGGGGGACCACCCTCCTTCCCAAAGGCCCCCCTGCTGCCTGCAGCACACCTACAGAAGTTGATCTCTCCTTGTTCCCCAATCATCTGCATGCACCCTTCCTTCCCTAGATCCCAGAGTCTCTCCTCTCCCCTTCAAAGCCATTCCTGTGACCTGTGTGTATGTGTGTGTATGTAACCAGAACCCCATGATGTCCGACACAAGCTTCCCCTCCCAAAGCCTGAGGATCTTCCATGTCCTCTTAATGCCACAGGAGAATCCTGGCATGCCCCCATGTATCTGGCCTGGACACTGGACCTGGCACACACAGCTTGCCCAATCCTCCAGGTCCCCAACATACCACCAGAGCAAGGCCTTTGGGAGTAGGTGATGAGGATTAAGCCGACCATGATGCCAAGCACACCCAAGGCAAAGGCTATCCCACACAGCACATTCTCCAGAAGATCTGAGGGCAACGCATTTCCAGGTACTGGAAAAAAAGAAGAGCCAGTCAGCCTGGAGACTGGATTGGGCAACCACCCACCCAAGGGAATGATGTGGGTATCTGGGATGACAGAGGAGAAACTAAGGCGTGGAAAATTGAGGTTGTCTCCAAGTGAGAATGAACTACACAAGGTCCAAGTGGAGAGAGAAAGCCCTCCCTTGGGTCTGTTTCTCCACCCCTCCCTAAATCCCACCCCCAACCCCTGCAAGAACCAGGTTTCCAGGGAGAAGGGTCTCACCCCAATAGGCAATTGCTGTGTAGCCGTCAATCTCATGAGTCACAAAGCAGGCATAGAGGTCAGAGGCTTCTGGTGTAAAGTTTAAGTAAGAAAAGGCCTGGAAGCTGAGTCCATCAACAGCTGAGATGAAAGTGGGCCCTGTTCCCTCCACAGGGCCCAAGTTATGCTGCCAGTTCACCGTCAGCGTGGGTGGGAAGAGATTACTGACATAACAGACCAGTGTGTTGGGCTTGCCAAACTCCAGGGGCTTCAGTGTGAACAACTCAGCAACAGGGATCCCTGGAGGAGAGGGGGTTGAGGGATGAGAGAAGACAGAGGGAAGGGAACCTCTAGTTAAGCTGGTACCCCCTGTTTCAAAGGGACATAGCATTTGGAAGGAAGCCAGAGAGAGACAGAGTCAATGGGGATGGGCTATGGGAGAAGAGATGAGGGAGGAATTGGAGCTCTGAGGGAGGTCTTGTTCCAGGCAAGACCTAGAGGTGGAGTCAGAGGCTGAGCCCCATCCAGGCCACTAGGACCCATCTGCCCTGACTGCCTGCAGCACTTCCTGTCTAGACCTCACCACAGAATCAAATCACATGCATCTCATCAAAACAAGCACATTGAGGCCTCCCTGGTGGCACAAGGGGTTATGTCTCAGCACTATGAAGCAATCTGCAGTCACTCCAGCACAAGTTTGATCCCCTGGCCAGAGAGGTAACCCACATGGCACAGCAGACCTCTCCTGTCTCGCTGGCTGCTCCCCTCAGCAGTATTTCAGTAGATCCGCCTGTTCTCCCCACTCTGTCTCTGGTGAATCCTTTCGCCCCCCGCACCCCTGACCTACACCCCAGCTCTTATATGCATAGATAAATAAATCTTTTTTTTAAAGATTTGTTTATTTATACAAGAACCGGGGTATAGGCCAGATGCACGGGAGGGTGAGAGGATTCACCAGAGACAGAGCGGGGAACGGAACAGGTAGACTGACAAAATACACTGCTGAGGGGAGCAGAGGGCGAGACAGGAGAGTTTTGCTTCACCATGTGGGATTCTCGCCAGCCAGCCAGGATCGAACCCGCACTGCAGAGGCTGCAGACAGCTTCACTGTGTGGTGCTCAACCACCTGGGCTACCAGGGAAGCCCAATAAATAAATCTTAAAAAAAAACCACACAAGTACATCATCAGATATTCCCATTACCCCTTGCATATTGCTGAGTAGCACAAGTGCTAATAATCAAGACATCATTTGGTCGCTGTTGAAGTCATCACATTTTCCATCAATAGTTTTGAATACTTTTTGAAGGCACTTTTTTTCTGCCTCACAAAAAAACAAAAACAAAAACAAACAAATGAAAAAACCAGAGTACAGACCATGAGTGGTAGAAAATATAAAAGGTAGAATGAGTGGTAGAAAAATAAAGGTGCAGGATCAGAAGCCATCAGAGACAGGGAGCTGGTGTGGAGGGAATAATTCAATGTACAGTTTAATGAGGTTAAGAATGTAGCCCCCTCCCTTTGCCCCCAGAAAGCCCCCTGACCTCTAGACACTGGGATTTGTCCTTCAAAGTATGGGCCTACTTTCTTTGTCAAAAATGAGCAGAACTCTTTGTCAAATAAAATGTTGGAAATATCATCAGACTCCTGAGCCCAGGCAGCGAATTCAGGCAGGCGAGGCACTCGAGTTTTCTGGGAAAAGTCGAAGGAGAAGAGATAGTCCCCATCGTAGGTCTCGGAGAGCCCAAACATGGGAGTCGCGTTCTGGCAGAACATCGTGTGCATGAACGTGTGGTTTTGCAGCTCATGCCGCCACACTGGAGTCAGAGCTGCAAAGGAGACAAGGCAGGGTTCAGAGGGTGGGTGACTCCTCCTCCTCAGTTTAGAAAACATCAAGGGCTGCTTCAGGGAGGAGTCATCAGGCATAACCCCCTCCAGTGTCTGTTATTTAACTCTTCCCCCATTTGAGGGTGCAGCAGAAATTACAATGGGACCTCTCCAAACTTCCTCTGCCCATATTAAGGCCAACTGCCTAATGTAACTTGGAAGAGGGGCACAATCGAAAGTGACAGATTCAGAATCACAAAGTTAGGGGAGGAGGTGTGCACTGCACAAAAGCAGGCATCCAGACAAGGAGGTGAGAAACTGAAGTTGACTCCACGCGCTGCTCTCCAAGCAATGCATCCTCCCAAAGGGGAGACCTGTGCCTCATTCACAGAAGGTACTGAGAGTGAAAGAATGGACCCTGCCCCATGCCACCCCCTGCCCCATGCCACCCCCAGACACACACAGCAGACTGAAAACCAATTTCCCGTCTTCTCATCAGATTTTCCCTGGCACCCAGGCCTCACTTTCACTCCCTCAGTGCTCCAGATCTTGCAATGACAAGATTGGGGGAAATAATCCCACAACTCCAGGAAATAATCCCTATTCTTAGAAACTCCTGGCAGGAATCCCCCCCAACCAAAAAGGAAACCCACCAAATACCCAGCACACACTACCCAGACTGGCAATTAAAGTAAGAGGGATCATCTAGATTATTCTTCCATTCTGCACCAGCCCTTACAGAGAAGGAAACTAAAGGCTAATAAAATTTAAAGTTTCAAGAACCGCAAAGTGAGATGAGTAATCTCCTAAGTAGAATAGTGGAAATAACATTCACTCAGTTCAAATATCAGTTCTACCACTTTCCACCTGCGAGAACTTACACAAGTTACTTCAAGTCTCATTTCCTTCATCTATAAAATGGACATAATTAACCTCTGCTTGGAGGGATGTGGAAAATGGACTTTTCAAAGCACCTCTGACACCCACCCATCCCTAGAAGCCCTCTTTTCCCATCCTGCTCTAGTTCCTACTATCCCATAATACTTTCACCACTTGCAAAGCCCAAGGCTCTTCTCCAGATGCTCTGGATTGGCCCCCCAGACCACGCCTGTGGGGACTGCAGTAAAGAGGAGGCGCTGTCATACCTCCAGATGCGGTCCAGGAGAGGGGTAGCAGCCACAGTAGGTGGAGCAGCAGCGGTGGCAGCGCAGTTCCTAGCCTCCGCTCTAGAACCATCTCTTCGCACCACCATCTACTAACAACAATCTGGCCCGGCTTCCTAAACTCCCCGCCCAGAGTATGTTGCGCCTGCTCACTTCCAATAGGTGGCTTTTTCATTTTGGCTCGACCAATCACAGAAGGGTCGGGTGTAACATCATCAGTCGCTAGGGAGAGACCTGAGACCAGCCACCTCCCGAAGACGTGGCTCTTTTAGCAGGCATGGTAGGGTGGGTACCTGCACTGGGGAGACTGGAGCAACGTCTGCCTCCTGGTGAGGATATCGCGTTAGTGAGACTGTCAGCCTCAACCTGTAACCCAAGCAACGGGCTCTTTAGAGCAGCGCCGCCCCGCGGCAGAACACCGCGGTGAAGAAGCTCATCTTCCCACGGCAAACCCCAGGGCTCTTCAGACTCCACCTTCTTCTTTCCTATCTCTTCCCTTTCTCAGAAAGGTATTCTCCTTCAGGAGTTAGTTCTATTCCTCCTGCGGAAACACACGATTTTTTTTTTAAGATTTATTTATTTATTTATACAAGCACTGGGTACAGTCAGAAGCACAGGAGGGTGAGAGAATTCACCAGAGCCAGAGCAGGGAGCAGAACAGGCAGAAGGACCGAGGTACACTGCTGAGGGGAGCAGCGGGCGGCAGGAGAGGTCTGCGCGCCATGTGGGACCCTCGCCGGTGGCCGGGGATGGAACCGGCACTGCAGAGGCTGCCGACAGCTTCACAGCCCAGCGCACAACCGCTGCGCCACCAGAGGAGGCCCAACACACGGATATTTTAGTAAGTGTTAGGTACTGGACCTAGTGATATAAATACAAGCTAACCGAGGCATAGTCCTGCTGTCAAAGAGTTTAAAGTCTAGATAGGGAAGGGGTGTCAATAGATGAATAATTACAACGTAATGTATTTGAATAAGAATGTGCCAGGTGTTTGGGAAGTAGTAGTTCTTTGAGGATAGGAGAGTAATAGGTGGGGCATAATCAAGAAGGGTTCTAAGAATCTTGAAGGAGAAACAATTTGACCAGCAGAACGTGAGGTCGAGAAAAGCATTCTTGGCCAAGGGTAAGCAAAGGTGCCAAGGTCAGAGGTGAGAGGTGATCAGAGCTCCTGAGGCTGAGGCTGGGCATGTCCCTGTTTGTTAATGGGGAGGGGAAGGAAGGTGTCAGGATGGGCTAGAAATTTTGGCAAGAGCAGCTCACATAGGTTAGGTTATGCCACAAGGAGGTTTCGGGTTTTACTTAGCAGGTGATAGAGACATTAAAACGAAATGATGACATGATCAGTTTAACACTTTAAGAAAATTGTTCTGACATTTCAAACAATGTAATGGAGCTTGGAAAGAACTGAGGCAAATCTGTTGGTCAAGTGTGTATAGTATATAACATCAAACTCTTAAATGTTGCCCCCCCCACACACACATACAGAGTCCTCCTGTAGCAATGTAATAGGTAAGAGATGACAAGAGCCTGAATTAAGTCATGAACAGAGAAGATGGTAGAAATTGAATATTGAGATAATTCAGACTTGGGGCTTAGCTACTGAATAGAGGTGAATGGGTCAAGGATAACACCCAGGTTTCTAGATTGTGTGACTGGGTGGGTGGTCAGTGAAACGGAGTGAGTTGAAATAGAAAAGAAAACTATAGAAACAGGTTTGAGGAAGAAGAGAGTGAGTTCCGTTTTGCATATGTGCAGTTTAAGAGGTATATGGGTATGGATCTCAGGCGTGGTGAAACTTAAGTTGGGCGACATCAGGACACATGCTGAAACAGAAGCAGTGGACAAGATCACCTCAGTAGATTGCAGAGGACATAAATCTGCACAGGTTCAAACTCCATGCCTGATCCAGTATCATGCAGGACCCAGTCAGGAACATAAAAATCACTCTAGGTATTTCAGATTGAAAGAACTTAATACAGAGAATTGGTTGCAAAGGTGTTTAAAAAAACAAGAAGTGCAAAAGGGAAAAAGAGAGTGATGGGAGGTACAGATAAGAAAAAGGAATACCTGGAAATCAGGTGCTGCTATTGCCCCTGAGCTGAAACCCAGCTCTGCATTCATTTCTCACATATTTTGCACAAACTGATAGAAATAAAAGCCATCACATGGTCTATACCTGCTGTGGTCTGCAGGAAACACTACCATAGCCAGTTCTGGGTCCACTGCAAAGTTGCCATCTCCATGATGGCTGGATCACTGAAAACGTTCTTCCTCTGCTCAGGAAGCTGGAGTCCAAAATCACCTGTTCTTGCTGCAGTTACGTCTACCAGCAACTGCCATTCTATTTGAAGCTAAAGCAGTAAGCGTTCTGGTTTCATCTGCCTTCTGATCCCCTGGCAGTGCCTCCCATTGAGAGACTCTAACAGAAGCTAACTGGCCAGGAATGACAGAGTATGCACCTTGAAGACTCCCAGGCTAAGTAGTCCAGAACACAGTACAAGAGGGTGGGCGTGGTGCTGACACCAGTTAATAATCCAGGACACTGAAATGCAATAATTTCTAAGAATCTGGTGGCACCAGGAGCACCCAGAGAATTGAGAGAACAATGAAGATGCTGGTTCAGAGAAATAGAGGTGTTCATGAAGGGCAAAGTCAGCATTATCAAATGCTACTCAGAAGTCAAGGAAGGACTGAAAGTGTCCTTAGATTTGGTAGTTATGAGATGGTTGACAAATTTATTGAGAGCAGTTTCAGTGTTGCCGTGGGAGTCGACTCCAGATTGTGGTGGGCTGAGAAAAAAGTGGGAGGTGAGGAAGAAACTGTCAGTGTATATGCTGCAAGTCTGATAGAGAAGAAAAAGGGAGAAAGACAGAAGGGGTGGGGGAAGAGACAGTGAGAAAGATCTAATGTGGCAATTAGTAATCTTAGAAAATAATCTCTGACTATCAGCCATCAGTGTTTCTGAGACTCTCAAAATCCATAGTCATTTGAGAAAAAAAATAATAGCCAAAATATGGCCCTGCACAAAAACAACCACATGACCTCCCGGATATTCTGAAACACTAATGTGTATGTGTGTATGGGGGTTGGGGGATGGTTGGGATAGGATTGGGAAATCATGGTGTTACACTCAAGAAAAGAAAATCACAGAAGATCACTTTCCCAATGCTCCACCCTTGCGGACCAACCCATTAGTAGTTCCTGCAGTGGAAAGAGCCCAGCCCTTGGGAAAGGGGAGAGGAAATTGATGACATCCCCAGATGCCTAGAGTTCCAAACCAGGGGTGGGCAAATTTTTTCCATACACGACCAGGTAATAAATTTTAGCCTCTGTGGGCTGCTCATCTGTCACGAGCCCTCAGCTGCCACATGAAAACAGACACAGGCAACACGTAAATGAGAGGACATGCCTGTGCTCCTAGCCTCTCTGCTTCTCAGACATCCCCTCAGCTCCCTTGTGGACTTTCTTCCAGTTGCTTAAATATTGGTGTTCTCTGGAGTTTTGTTCTTTATTTTTTTACTGTGGACACTGAAATTTAAATTTCATTTAATTTTCATGAGTCACAAAATAGAATTCTGCTTTTTTCAACCATTTAAAAATGTAAAAATCATTCTCAGTTCTCAGGTCATATAAAAAAACAGATGGTGGGTTGGATTTTGCTCTGCTGAACACTATCTTACATGTGTGGACAGAATTGCAACAGGAGACCCAAAATAAACCCACCCTCCACAGAAGAGCTTGGGAATGGCAAGCTCTTGGGAATGGCAACTAGCTAATGAATACATTGTGCCCCAAGACACAACAGGTTATCTGGAAGGAGGACTGGAGAAAACACAGAAGACTGACTGGAAAGTCTGGGAACAGGTTTAGCCAACACCAGTTTTGGGTGGAATAAAGAGGTAAAAGGATCCAGATTCTCTGGAGTGGTGTGGCAAGAACCAGTGTGAGGAGAAACATAGCCACCCACTTCAAGACTAGGCGAGGTATGGGTTAACTCTGTTCTCTCCCCAAATAACATTTATGACTACCCTTCCCCTAAGTAATTCTTCCTGTCAGGACCCTCCAACCTCCGTTAATAGGTATCTCAAAAATAGTCTCTAATTCCTTTGGAGAAATGACAATTGTGGGCAAGAGAGGAGCAAGGCAGCCAGTCTTGCCACCCAGGAACATATTGTCTGTTTTGGTTATTAGGTAAGTTGTCTCTGAATAGAACAGCCCAACACCTCTAAGTCCAGTGGACCTGGCTTTCTAACACTTTCTCCTTCCCTCTCTAGCACTGCCTCATGTATTTTTTCTTGGCAGTCAAATTTTCTGGGGAAAAAAAAAGTGGGCAACCACATCCATATTCACACTTGCCATTTAGTACACCCTTAACAATGGAGTTGTTCATCAATAATTTTGTGTCACTAAATCAAATGCACTCTGCAACATTTGACACTGTTGGCCAAGGCCTCCTTCTTAAATTGGTCTGGATTTTTGGCATCCCTGGCAGCACTCTCTCCTAGTCCCCTCCGGCCCTGTCTTCTTCCCCAGTCTCCTTTGTGGACTCCTTCCTTCCAGCTACTCGTTACATATTGGTGTTCCCTGGAGTTTTGTCCTTAAAACGCCTTTTCTTTTCTTACACTAGATATTTGCCCTGAATGGCAATGCCCTGGATGGCATTTACTCCCACATGCCTTCTGTCGTCACCTATTTGCTGGCGTCTTCAAAATTTACCCCTTCAGCTCTGATCTTGCTGATCTTGCCCCCAGGCCCCTTTAGGCATCTCCACTGGGATATTGTGCAACTGTAGTTCTCAAATTGAGTGCTCCACAAAAGTGCCCTTCAAGATTATTTTTAATGTGATAGTGGCAATTTTTATTTTTAAATTTATTTCAACATGGATATAATACAACACCAAACACATTTACATAATGATTTTATTATGCAAAAATGTATTATATATAATAAGATTATTTTAGTGGTAAGCAAAAGAAATCCATTCTGGCTAACTTAATTTTTCAAATGCAATTTATAAGGATACTGAGCTAGCTCAGGGAAGCAAGAGGAGTGGAATACGGTAGCCTCAGCAAGGAGAACCACAGGGGCCTTAGCAGCAGGAGCTGAATTGCCATTAATATGTCTCACCTTCAAGGTCTCCAGCCTTGATCTTTCAAGCTTCCCATTGCTGGGGACATCTGGCTGGCTTATATTAAGTGTGTACTTCCGATCAATTAGCTGTGGCCAAGCAGTGTCATCTCGATGTATAAGAGCTAATTCCAGGGAAGGTTTGTACCAAGCAACCA